CAAGATAACATGATAACGCTTCATCACAAGACATCCAAATGGCATTGAAACCTCACCTTCTGATTATGGATTGGGGCTTGTCAACCCAAAGGCAGCAATTGATCCTGAATTGATGTATGATTTTGACGCATGCAACATAATTCATTTTCTCTGTATCACTGACGCAAGCCCTGCTCAGCTGGAAAACATATCTGATTAGAATACATATTGTAAAAATGGACCTACATTTCCTAATATGAATTTAACTACCCATCAAATGGAGTCTCCAATCTAGGAGGAAACATATCAGTGCATAGACAATGACATATTATGGAAAAGACCCGTTGTGTACAAGTTAGAAATAGACCATCCAACTGGTGTTGATGTTCCAGTCATTCCTAACGGGCTAAGATTTGAAAAAATAGGACAAAAATGTTTATTAGGATAAATTTTATGCCGTGTGAGACCAGTAATGTGGAATTTGTATGCGGACAGATGGAGTGTGGTGAGGAGTCCTACTGGTCTTAATATACTTCCCTCTTAGGAGGCATATTAATGAATTGAAAATACCGAGTTTCATGATTGTAAGACATTTATTGTCATCAAGATTTTAATAATGATATTCTATTACAACACAAGTATATACAATAATAGGATTGCTTAGGTCATTATTTGCATAAACCCAACTTGATGACTCAATATAATATTACTACTGCATTTTGAAGTGGCATGCCATAAAAGTTTTGACATAATTCAAGACGAAACTAAAACATATTGTACCTTCAACTATGCTCACGCCAATGAGCAAATGGAAACACAAACTAGCTTTGGCTTGAGTTTCTCTACCATCTCTGTCCAGCCAATCCCGTACTCTTCTGTATAAATCTGGTACTCAATTTGTAAATAAGAACTGCAATCAAGAGTTTATTTTTCAAATTCAGCTACGTTTCTTTTCCGGTCTTCTTTTTGGGCAGACACTGAAAGATGCATGCATAACTGTTCTCTTCTCAATTCAAAGCTCTTACAGTATAAAATTATCTAAAAACAAAACCTCAAAACCAGTACCTATTACCAGTAATCTCCACAAGAGCACCAGCCATCACTAAAATGATGGAACCGGTTTGAATCCCTCACGACAATTTCCCTGCCTTCCAGTTTGGATATAAGCTTAATCACAGTATGGCAGTCACCATAAACTCTAAGATTCTTTATGATCTTTATTGGGATACCACACGGTACAGAAATCAACCCAAATGCAATAGCCAGCCGCTCACTGTGCCTAGAGAGGATGGCCTCCTTTTGTTCCTCCTCAATATCATGGAGCACGTAACTCCATGATATTGATCCGCTTAACATCACATTTTTAAGAGAAGTGAGTACTGTCGAATAAGTGTATTGATTTGGCTTAACATCACATTTTCGCATCCGCACAAACATTTCTATTGCTTGTGCAGTTTTCCCATTCTGTAAGTATCCTCCGATCATGGCCGTCCATGAAACCACACTTTGAACTGTTTCCATCCCACAGAAATTCTTGTCCGCATCATCCATCTCGCAGGTTTTCATGTAGCACCCCAGGAGAGCTGTTCGAATGTTTTCAAGACGAACAAACCCAGTCTTGATGACCTGGCAGTGGACCTGTTTGGCAAAACCCAATTCTTTAAGTCTAGCGCGTAACTTAATCATGGTAAGGAAAGTTGTGTCCGTGAATTTTACACCAGAAAGTCTCATTCCATCGAATGTGTTGAGAGCCTCCAACTCAAGCCCGTTCACGATGAGGCCTGCAATCATCCCGTTCCAGGACACTGTATCTCTACACTCAGTGTCACCAAACACATCCTTAGCCTCTCTGGCCATTCCGGATTTTGAGTACAGAGTAACCGAAGAGTTTCCCACTACCCGAGCTGAATCCAAACTGTTCTTGATAACCAAGCTATGTAATTGGATACCCGCCCGTATGGCCCGCTCATTGGGCAAGGCCCCAAGAATGGCTGCAAACGTGATAGGATTTGGCTCAACTCCCTCAAATCTCATCGAGCTAAATAATTCTGCAACCTCCCGAATCATCTTTTTCTGCGCATAACCCGCAAGTAATGAAGTCCAGGTCACCACATTCTTATCTTTAATCTCATCAAACACCTTTTTCCCCACATACAGATAATCATTCTTGACATTTCGTTTCTGACAGCCCCCGCGTCATTTTTAAGGCACTGGCAATGTAGCTGTTTGCCAAAGGCATCACTATGCAAACTTGCAGAAGCTTTCAATACACAAGAAAAGGTACACCCATCAACAAGAACTCAAGTTCGATTAATAAATGTGTAAAGATTTAAGGCTTCTTTGTTGAGACCGTCGCGTGAGTACCCGAAAAGCTGGGCTTCTTTGCACGAGGTATCTTGCTGGGGAATTTTATCGAACAAATTGTGTGCTTCGGGTGAATCTGAAAGAGAAAAACACTCGCATTGGGTCTCAGGCTCGAACGTAGCGGCAGAATAGAGGGAGAACTGAAAAGATTGAAGTTTTTTTGGAAAGTTGGAAAGATATTTAGAAGAAGACAAACTAATTTATGCAATTTTTGACAAACTAATTTATGCAATTTTTGACAAAAAAAAAAGGAAAAAAAAAAAAACAACAACAACAACAAACAAGCAAAACAATCGCGTGTGGTGGAATTTTGTGTAACAACTACTAGAAAATCTCCGGCGGTGTTAAACAGCGCCGGCCCATATAATTTAAATTATTTTTTTATTTAACTTTTTATAAAAAATTAATTTTTAATTGTATAAACATATTTAAGATGCGTATTATTTATTAAAAAAAGTTGAAACTAAAATTTAAAAAACTGGTAAGCAGGAAAAAACTATACTAAATGGAAAACAAAGTATAATTAGGGTTATACTTGCTGAAAGAAAAAATATGAAGAAAAAGTTGAAGGATTAACTTTCTTTAAAATATGTTTATAAGTTCAACTTCATTCCCACAACTGGGCGTCATCATATTCATACGATGTGTTATATTCATTGAAAAAATATATACATTTCATGACATGCTAAAAAAGAGGCATAAATTATAAACTTGTAGCAAAACTCATAGAATTTCAGTATAAATTATAATGCATGGATGAAGGCCTAAAGCATCGTACACCAACACTAATAATAGAGTTTTAAGGCCTAAAATATTTATATAGTAATACAAATGCCAAAACGGAACACAATAATACTATGAACACCACACCACAACCAAACTTTTTTCAATATATCCACCGTAAATACAAACAATAATAGTAACACAAACATATTAGATCCATCGATTAACCACTTTATTTGGTAATACAACTGCTCAGTTTTCTTGAAAAATATAAATTGATGAAAAACGCATAACAATGTTGGTGAGCCTACGTCTATTAATTTTGTAAATTAATCTTTATTTTGATGTTACTTGTTGCATGCAAATTCTAATGCTTGCACAAGATATAATATATTGAATTCACACCAATGAATGACAATTTTCTTTACAAAAGAAAACATTAAATGTAAACTCAAAAGACTACTAAGAACTAACCAGATGAAAAGAACTGAATAAATTAGATGTCCAAGCAACTTCATTGTCAACCGAGTTCATTTGCAATGTCGGCAACCGCGTGACTTTTTTCACATCTTCGTCAGTAATGAAAGCTTTAAAACAGATTATGGAATGGAATGATCTATTACAAGTACTTTACCAATGGAATGGAAACCTGTAAGTAGGAACTAGATAACAAATCATTACATAAAACATGTATTAAAAAAGAATAGCACCCATTGCATAAGGTGATCCATATAGATTATACCTATGACAAAAACTATAGTATAGTGAAAAGTTTGCAGAACACCTGGCATCAAGATTTTTGTGTCAAAGTGTTCTAAGTGTCATGTGTCTAAGATACAATTTTCCATATGTGTATATAATTATAAAAACGCAATGACCCCTCCCCTCTTATTTATTAAAAAAAAAAAAGAAAAGAAAAGAAAATTCAAAATAACTAAGTAAACTAAAAATGCTAGACAATTATAAAAAGAAAAATTCTTGACTGAAGTGAAACCGCTTGAAATCCAGTTCTCAACATTAAAATTTCAAGCTAAGAATACCTGAAATATTAATTTTCAAAGTTCAAAGAAAGACCAACAACATTAATCCACTATCATTATTTGAAAAGCATGAATAAAAAGAAAAATTCATAAATGCCTTGAAATTTACCAAACATCAAATAGCTTTTTAAAACAATGAAATAAAGCAATGTTGAACAATATAATGTGTAAGATCATGTACCACACAAACAGATTATTCATACATCACACCATTCCCCAACAAAAAACAATAGATTCATATGCGCCACCATCTTTTACGTTCTTTTATTAGTTTAAAGAACATGAAATTCAAATATAATTAAGACCCATTAGATAATTGTAAAAACTAACATACTTACTCAGAATTAGTACTCTTGTAATTAGAAAAAATGAATAAAAGAATAATAGATATGAAAATGTGTGTGAAGGACAAAATGAAAAGAAAATATAACAACTAAAACGAAAAAAAACTATATGTGATTAATCTCTCGAGCTTTAATAATATTTTTAATAAAATTATTAGAATAAAAAGTTATCGCCTTTAATGTTTCTTAGGCCCCAAGTCCTTTTCAGGTATATCTCCAGATAATAGAACCAAGCAACCAAGGTATCCACACTGATCTCAAACTTAGCAAGCTTTTTAAATAGTGTGATCATAAGAAAAAATAAATGAGATCACTCATTTTTTGTTTACCTTAACAGTATAGAGTGAATATAAGAACCTTTTATATGCAGTTTCAATTGCAATTATGTGTGTGTGCGTGTATGGCATTAAATTAGAATCACATCTTTGAGAAATAGAAATATAATTTAAAACCTAGTAGACCAATCTATAAGCGGAATAATTGAATCTTAAGAAGACTATGAATTTCAATTGCTCATACCAAGGGTGGTGCCAAATGATGATGCTCTTAATTGAAGGTCCGCTCCTAGATTTGACAAAGTGATGGTGGAGCATGAACATGAACGAAACCCGTTTTATACCCTCATAGATTTGAATTCAGCCTAATACTCTTGTTCTTCACTCTCATTACACCTGCAAACAAATCAAAATCAAGCCTAAACAATCTCTAACTTTGATCTAGATGTAACCCTTTCTTATACCATAATCTCTGAAAAACGTAAGCCATGGAGAAAAAAATTATGATCGTCATCACTTACTCGAGAGGTGTATTTGACGAGATTGAAGAGGTGTAATGCAAAGGGAGGTTGTCGGCGGCTGGCCGAGGAGGTACTCTCTCTTGTCGGAGAGTGCTGGTTCATATTGACTTTGGGATCTCTCTCTCTCTCTCTTTCTGGTCAAGCCATTGGATTAAAGGTTTCTAAAAAATACACAAGATATAAATTTGATTAGAATAAAGAGAAGCAATAACTCCAAGGAAATAAATGTCCAAAAATATAGGTATCATCATGTTAATTTCTCATGTCAGGCTAACATTTTCTGAATGCCGCTTATGTTTCCAATCTGCGGTGGGCCCTGTCAGCTGTTTCGATCCAAAATCCAATACCTTCAAGTTTTTCAACAAGCCAATTTCCTTGGGTATTGTACCAATCAACAAATTCTCATCCAAAATACTGTAAATCAGACAGAGGTGTGATCAGTATGCTTACATAATGTCAATAATAAAAAAAAAAATAAAAAAATAAAATAGGAAAATTAACATATAAAGTAATTGCTTACAGTTCTTGCAGATAGGTGATTTGGTAAAATTCTGGTGCAATGAAACCCTTTAAAGATGCCCTGGATATGTTAGTGAAATTCAAATGGAATTAGAAATAGAAGTGATTTTTTAGTTCTTAACTTAGAAAAAAAAAAAAAAAAAAGATTCAGCACATTGAAATATATGTAGTTAATTAAAAAATAATGTGTGTATTAGAAAACAATGTTGCAAACAAGTTCAAATCCAAAGGAAATTAGATACGCAAATTAGTTGAAGGAGAGACTAAAATGAATAAATTGTAAGTCTCTTATTTGTAATTTGAAGTCTACAATAAAAAATTTAAGCACCCTTCTGTATATTATTGATTCTTAATTGAATTATATGCAGAACCAAGACCAAAAGTCGACATTCGAAAACATAAAACTATTCACACATACAAATTCTCATCTTGCACATACTGAAAATTGTCTAATACAAAGCACAAATGCAAAAACTATCGACTCTCACATATAGATATTGTAGACGAAGTTTTTGGATCGAACCCGATAATCAAAGCGAGCATGGGAACGAATATGCCGCCTTCATCGACACCTCCTATACTCCCAAGGACTGCCGAAAAAAATCCAAACACTGTCCCAACCACATTTTTCTAGCCAAATTCCATATCCTGCAAATTCCCAATATGTAATAATCAATCAATTTGTCCATATTAACGAATAATTTGGGAACTGCTTATTTAACCAAGTTTTTTAAATTTCTACAAAAATAATAAGAAATTGAAACTCACATGCCACACATGTTTGGACAGCAAGTTCATAATACTCTACTGCAAGAAGTTCACTATTTTTGTCAACTGACCTGAGTCTCCTTTGTTGTTGTTGAAACTTCTTGAGCTGAAACTGAAAGGTCACCGCATTATGTTCGAACAAATAAACCAGTCAAAACCACAACCTTTTTCACACGCAAACCCTTCTTGACAACCATGAAAATTCTTCCAAAAAAAAAGAACTCTTAAATCTTGCTAACTTCACCCCTGCAGAAGATCATATCTCCTTGAAAATTCCCACTAAACAAAACAGGAATAACACCAATTATAAGTTCAATTGGCAAAAAAAAAAAAAGACCAGTTCGAAATCAAAAAGCCATAACAAATGGGATAAAAATTGGGCAGATTCGACGAGGCTGAGAGGCTCTAAGAGCAAAAATCAACAGTTTTTCCCCCAAAAAAAAAAAGTTTATAAAAAAATGTACGTCTAAATAATATCTGATAAGCCACAAGCAAGAAAAAAGCTTATCAATA